CAGATTATCGCCCATGTATCTGCACTGCTTTAGCGGGCAGATCTCAGATCAGCCCCATTTTCTCCCTTCCTTTCTCACCTAATCTCACTCTTCCCTCAGTACTCTGGTTCCCTCCCGGCATACGCACACCAGTATTGTGTGTCTGACCAGATCTGCATTTCGTACTTACGGCAAAGAGAAAGCCTTAACGAAGTATCTCACCGCTTCTTCTCACCATATGACAAAGAGATCTGTCAATCTGGAAGGGCGTGTGAGTAAGCAGTGTTATCAGGTTATCAGTACCATGTGCGAGTTCCCAATCAACCTGAGCCTGCCCCTTTTCATGTGCAACAGTGGTAGTCTTCAAAGAATCCAATGCAGAGGCATGGTCAGATTCATGAGTAAATCTGTACTTAATCCGAACTTGCATGACAGTGCACGCACAGGCAACCCCCCCCTTTCGAAGTGAGTTCAGGTCACAAGAGCATATGGATGATAAATAATAATAATTATAGCCATAGGTTCAAACTTCAGAGGACAAACCCAGACTTATACCCTCAGTTTCGGGTGAATATTGAGCAGGAATTCAGTCAGATACGTTGCCATACCCTTCAGTGGTCCCAACACTCTCTCTCTTTTCACGCTCTCACACAGTCTTACCTTCTCACCATCACACGGGTGCACTCTCTTCCTCACTGTGTCCACCTCTCTCTCTCTCTCTCTCTCTCTCTCTCTCTCTCTCTCTCTCTCTCACGAAGCCACGTCCATTCACTGCAGACGAGAAAAAAAAAAAAAAGAGTGAATTTTTAGCGGGATTATGGATGGATACACCCATATACCAGTCTTCAGTGCGCTGGTGCGCTGCCGTGTCATCAACCAAATCCCTCTCTCACACTCGCACCCTCATTAACGCTTCTCCCTTCGTCTCCCCTCCCCCTCACTCCTTTTTCTCATCTGCTCTATCACTCCCCGTTCTCATGCTTGTCCCCACCAGCTATTTCTCTAAAGTGGACTCCAATACACCTGGACGTATTCCAGGCCAGGTGCGTGGATTGATATAGATGCTTCAACCCGTCTCTTACTTACCTGTTCTCTCCGCTTACACTTTGTCCCCACGGGGCTTTTCTCTATTACTCTCTCGATCACACGCTGATCCTTCGTGTGCTGCTCTTCTCATCAGTAGTCCTTGAGCCCGTTTGGATTGTACTTCCTGTGTGCACAGGAACAGACACTAGCAAGAGCTCCCCCTTCCAAACGGGCGTAGCTGCAACGTTTCAGCAGCCGGGGCATGGCACGTGCTCAATCCCCAAAACAGCCTCTCCCCTCAGTTCCCTTTGTTGCACACACCTGGTACGCGTCAATCCCTACCAAATCTCCATATGCTCTCCCTGTGATCGGGTTCAAATTTTCGCTGCCTGCAACAATGCAGTTCTCTTTTCCAACGGGAAAGCTTGATCCGTTCATCTGCAACAGTGGCTGACCCCGCTGCTTACGTTTCACTGGGGGAAATCGTTGATACAACCATCAACGGTTCTTACTGGTTCTGTTGTCGTCCGATACGCCTGGCACGCCGACCCAAAGCAAGTCCTCTGTCCCCTTGGTGCTCTCCCCCATGTCCCCCACGAACAGGTACGAACGGTAACACACGCTGCAGACTCCTGGTCCGCTTTTTTGGTGCAGATGTTGACCCGCGCATTTTACTCCTCGTACCCTTCCCGAATCAATCCCCCCTTTGCTCCACGCTGGCCCTCACTATATTCCCCAGTCTGGCCACTTCCCCCTTGCCTCCTTGGTACCTGTTTGATCCGAAGTCAACTGGACCTGCAGCACCAAGCCTGTTGGTACCGGAGCCCTAGGCCCTGGATCAGGGCCGCGTGGACCGAGATGTAAGTTTATCGCTGGTCGCGCCAGATATCCGGACCAGACCAAGCACCGTATCTAGGAATGGAAGCACTCATCAAAAAGTAGCCATTCCAATTAAGAGTCAGCAAACATTTCAATTTTTTTATAGCTCCGAACGGCAGCGGCCATACCGGTACCGGACCAGTAACCGTACCAGAAATAATTGTACCGAACTGCAGAAGGCTGTCGCAGAGCCGAACCAGCGACCATACCAGAATTAAGATTCCAACCCTCATAGTGTCGTCGACGCGCAGTGGCCGTGCCAGAAATAAAAGTTCCGAACCTCAGAGTACTGTAGACCGCACCGTAATCGGGCCAAAGATGATTTTACTGGATGTCCGAGTGCTGTTGATGAACCATGACCGTACCGGGGATTATTGTGCCGAACCTCCGAGCGCCGTAGATGTGCTGACCCAGTAACCATGCCAACCTGATTGTCCTCCGGAAGAAAATCGGACCACGCACACCAAGTAATATCCGGGTTGCGACAAGGGCAATAATCAGGGGAATTGGTTAAAATCCAGTGGGGGATTGTAATTTGCAATAATCTGTGTATATCGCTGAAACGGGAATAATCAAATAATTATTGGCAAAAATTCATCAAGAGCGAATTTTATAAAAATTAATTAAATAATAAAATAATCATCCATTTCTTTCTCTTTTTATTATTTTTAATTCTTTTATTTATTTTTAATTACTTTATCAAGTTAAATGAAAATTGAGGCCTCACTTCCCCCCGTCAATTGGTCGGTGCAGAAAGTGTCGCGCAAAGCGTCATTAGGATACTCTTCCCCCGTAGCTGGCTGGTTTGGAGACAGCCCCAAAACAGGCGGAAAATGTGAGCCCCGACCGTGGTAGAAGTGACTACTCAGATTATCGGTATTTTAGGGTTAGTATCGGTAGTTGGTGGCGGAGTATTTAGGGTCCCTCTCGGAGCCTCTAATTTCGTTCGATCGCCCCGACTTCAAACTCCCAAGGATCCTGGCCCGGTGCTCTACGGAAGGCCTAAATTCATAGTTTTCGGGTGGCCGACTGCATTTGGCCGCCCGACACCGGTGTTGCTTCCCAGCTTCCCACACCGGTCGCGGCAATACGGCTCCACCCTCCTCTTCCTGCCTTCGTCCCCCCGCCCCCACAGCAGGGTACCGCCCAGGCTGGGATTCCTCCTCCCACGGGGAGACCCGCTCCGCCCCCTCCACCTCCGACCCCGCGCACCCAGCAAGTGGCCACTTTACAGGCCACCATCGCGCAGGTGGAGATTCTTGCTCTGAGACAGCCTCACCCATCACAGGTTGCCCACCCTTTCTCCTCGACCACCCCTTCGGTCCCCATGATGCAGGCTCGTTTCCCTCAACCTGCTCCTCAACCTCTTCCCTCGTACCTGGCTATTCCGGGACAGCTGCCCGCGGTCGTTGCCTCCTCGTCCGCTGGTCCATCAGCCAGCGGCCACGGCCCACAACCTTCTCCCACCTCCGCCCCAGCAGCGGCCTCGACTTACGCCGCCGCAGTGCACTCGCCTCGATCTCTCTCCCCCCACCATCAGCACAGTGGACATCCTCTTGTGCGCACCACGGACATTCCCGAGTATGATGGGACATCCCGTGTCTCTCGCTGGTTGCAGATAGCAACGCGCACGCTCTCTATGACGACCACCCGTCAGGAGTTGTGGTGCGATGTGCTCGTAACCAAATCGCGAGGTAGCCCTTCCACTGCGTGGGAGGATCATTATACCGAGCGCCTCCGCGTGGGTGAGGTCCCCACTCTGGCCGACTTCGCGGCCTTCCTTCAGGACCGTTTCGGCGCTCGTCATGACGCCACCGACGCCTTAGACCGCGTCACCCAGACCAGATGGTCCGGGTCCTCCATACCGGCCGACCTGGAGCGTCACATTCGGGTGTTCCAGGACGCTCGCCGTATTTGTGACGAGACGTTCCTACCGGAGGTCACACTCACCGACCGGTTCCTCGTCAGCCTGCCGACTGACTATCGCTTAGAGCTATGGAGGCGATCATTCTCTTCCGCGGAGCAGGCATACGAGGCTGCGCGTCAGTACCAGAGGATGTGCAGTCGCTTCTCCACCGCCCCATCCTCTTCGCGTCCAACTGCCACCTCCCAGTCTCGCGGTACCACCAGAGGCCGCTCCTCGTTTGCTGGTCGTTTTCGTCGCCCGGCTCGACCTGTAGCGCCATTCTTTCGGCACTACAGTTCTCTCGAGTACGGAGAGGACGCCTCAGTCGAGCTTGATCCTACCATTGGGGATTCCCCCGAGGACATCGAGCTTCGGGACGTCATCCAGTACCACTTGGATGACGACATTGTCCCGATGGCCGAGCGCGTGCAGATGGCCATGTCTGCCATGGGTCATGTGCGCAGTCAGATTGCACAGGCTGGCGCCCGCACACCCACAGTTCCTCAGATAGACCTCCCCCAGGGTTTTGTCCCTCCTCGCGGAGCTCTATCCCCCGAGGAGCGTGCCGCCCTCTAGGCCCGACGCGGCTGCCTTCGTTGCCGCCAGGATGGACACACCTCCTCACGGTGTCCATACCACACCGCCCTCGATCGGTACTACGCTGACATTTCTCGTCAGCGCCGATCTCAGTCCCCCCTCGGCCCCGCCTGGCCAGCCCCACCCAGCTAGCCACAGTGCAGTGTACCCCTGAGGCCTCGCTCGTAGCTGGCTTCCCGACCACCGAGTCGAGGTTTGCCCCTTTGGCTACGCCACCAGAGGATCCTCAGGACATGACAGACGCAGTTCTCTCTGCCCCGTCGTCTGTCGAGGTATCATCTGCCTCCCAGCAGACCGCCGCATCTAGCGCTTCTCCCCCGAGACTTCCGACGCGTCGCGCCATTCGCACAACCCATTGTAGCGCTCAGCTGGCGACTCGCGATGACGTTGTGTCATCTCTCCTGGATTTGAGCATTCTTCAGGCTCGTTAGGAGCGACTCACGAGACACGTAAACGTCCTGCGACATATTCTCGCGCTTCTCTCTGACCCTGATCGTACCCTCCCCATTATCCCTATTCGCCTAGGGACATCTACGAGAGTGTATCGCGCTTTATGAGACTTTGGCTCGCAGGGAGATTTCGTTCACCCTCGAGTGGTTAAGGAAGCTCGCCTAGCTACCTCTGGGTCTCGCTCTCCTATCTCCGTTACCCTCGGAGATAACAAGACACAGCGCTTCTTCGATCAGACGGTCCCCGAGCTCCACTTCTCCCTCACCCTCCAGCCACCGGATAGTACCCAGGCGCCTCGGCGCTACCATTCCTCCGCATACTTCGATGTGCTGGAGACTGGGTACGACTTTATTCTTGGCACTCCCTGGTCTCGCCGGTTCCATGGCACAGAGAGCGAATGGGCGACCGAGACACTCGTTCTCAAAACGAAGTGTGGTCAGACCCATTGCGTCCCGTTCATTGGAACCACGGGCGACACCCCGCCCGACCTACTTCCCCAGGACCCTTGTCCCTCAGGGTCCCACCCCAACATCGCATTCACTTCCCCTCGTCAGTTTGCTCACTTCATACGACAGGAGGACGTCACGTTCTACTCAGTGAACGTCATGGATCTTCTTTGCTACGATCCACTCTGTCCCGAGGTTGAGCTCATCTCTCTAGAGCTTGACCCCCCTGACCCTCCTTCCATCTTCGTGGCTCCCATCTCTACATCCACTCGTCAGCCTGCGGATACCCCCTCCACGTCTCAGGCCCCTGCACCGTCGACTGTCGAGTCCACACATACGTCTCGTGCCGACGCAGACGCTGAGGAACTCACACGGTTCACGACAGACTTAGAGCCTTCCGTTCGCGACCTGATTCGAGAGTACCGCGACGTCTTTCCCCCGTACTTCTCATACAGCGGGATTCCCCCGATGCGCGGTGTTGAGCATTCTATACAGCTCGTGCCTAACTATCGTGTTCACTATCAGGCACCGTACCGACTCTCGATTCCAGAGGCGACGGAACTCAAGCGTCAGCTTGAGGAGCTCCTTCGACTGGGTTTCATTAAACCCAGTAAGTCCCCTTGGGGTGCACCTGTCCTCTTTGCTCGCAAAGTGGACGAAACTCTTCGCCTCTGCATCGACTACTGCGGCCTTAACCGTTACACAGTTAAGAACAGCTATCCCATGCCTCCCACGGATGAGCTGTTTGATCGTTTGGCAGGCAACCGCTTCTCACGAAGATCGATCTTCGTAGCGGTTACCACCAGATCCTCGTTACCACAGAGGATCAGCCGAAGACCGCCTTTCGGTCGCGCTTCGGCCACTACGAGTTCATGGTGATGCCATTCGGCCTCACCAATGCCCCCCCCACCTTCCAGACGGCGATGAACGACATCTTCAGGGACATCCTTGAAGAATACGTTCTCGTATACCTGGACGACATCTTGGTCTACAATCGCACCTTAGAAGACCATATCAAACACCTCCGCGATGTCCTACAGCGCTTACGCAAGCATGGCTTCTATGCCAAGCTCAGTAAGTGCCGCTTTGCCTAGCGCAAAGTGGACTTCCTAGGACACCATGTGTCTGACCGGGGTCTCCACATGAACGACGCGAAGATCACTTCTATTGCAGAGTGGCCCGTCCCCACATTTGCCAAGCAGCTTCGCAGTTTCCTAGGCCTCACCAGCTACTATAGTAATTTTATCCAAGGATACGCTAGGTATTCCTACGTCCTTACCTCTACYCTCCTCCGGAAGAACCCGCCGTGGTTTTGGACACCCCTGTGCGAGGATGCCTTTCGCGCCCTCAAGAAGGCGGTGACCTGTGCGCCAGTTCTTCGCCTTCCCGATTTTGATCGTCCCTTTATCGTCACCACCGATGCGTCAGATTTTGCAGTAGGAGCTGTCCTTTCTCCGGTGTTTCCCTCTCCTCCAGATTCACCTTACCCCCATGTTCCTTCTTTCCCCCCCCCTCCTACTGACACTGCTTCTCGACTAACGCCTACCCTCCCACCACTTCCCTCCACTGACAGTCCTCCTGTCACTTACTCTGCGACCATCGCGGAGGATGGGACTGTCGAGGCTCGTGCTGGGGATTGTCCGATCGCTTTCTACTCCCGTCAGCTATTGCCTGCCGAGATAAACTACACTGCCGATGAACGTGAGGTTCTCGCAGTAGTTTATGCTACCCGGTATTGGCGTCATTATCTGCACGGGGCGCCCTTCACGGTGCGCACGGACAACTCAGTTGTCCAGGCTTTCCTCACGAAGCGTAAGCTTTCCCCTCGACAGGCACGCTGGTGGCGTGACTTATCCGAGTTCAGTTTCACCACTCAGCCCATCAAGGGTGAAACGAACCGCGTCGCCGATGCCTTGTCCCGTCGTCGTGATTACAATCAGGAACCCATCCATCTTGCTGCCATCTCCATCACCATTGTTGATCAGTCGGTGATCGACGCTTATCGCACTCAGTACCGCCACTGCCCCGATTATCGTGTAATCCACGCGACACTGCGGAGTGGCAAGACCGTTCCTTCCTACTCCCTCGGGGAGAACGGCCTCGTGTACTGGCATGGCAGATCTGGTCAGCTAGAACCACGTATCTGCGTTACCTCCACCGGACAGCTCCGCGTCCAGGCTGTAGCAGAGTTCCATGACCAGGCAGTTGCCGGTCATATGGGTTTCCACAAGACGTTGGCTCGTGTTTGCCGCCTATACGTCTGGCCGAAGTCCAAGGACTTTGTCAAAGCCTACATCCAGGAGTGTCCTACCTGCCAGGAGGTGAACAGTGCGAACCACCTTCCGTATGGGTTACTTCAGCCCTTACCCGTACCTGAGGGTTGTTGGTAGTCCATCTCGATGGATTTCATTGGTCCCCTTCACCCACCCACTGAGTGCGGTCATGATGCTATCTTGGTCGTCGTCGATCGCTTCACGAAGCGTGCACGTTTTGTCCCGTGCCGCTATCGCATTAGCGCTCGTGAGGTCGCCGACATCGTCTTCGACCGAGTCGTGAGAGATCACGGCTTACCTCAGAGCATCATCTCCGACCGTGACCCGCACTTTACCAGCACATTCTGTCGACGCCTACCCGAGGTGTACGGATCCCAGCTCCGCTTCTCATCGTCTTACCACCCTCAGACGGATGGTCAGACTGAGGTCACCAACAAAACTCTCGGTAANTACCCGAGGTGTACGGATCCCAGCTCCGCTTCTCATCGTCTTACCACCCTCAGACGGATGGTCAGACTGAGGTCACCAACAAAACTCTCGGTAATGTCCTCCGAAAGTTTGTTAGGGATGACCAGCAGTGGGACTTACACTTAGCCCACGCGGAGATTGCGTACAACCACGCTGTTTCGCCAACCACGGGGATGTCGCCATTCTATTGCGACCTCGGCTACCACCCTCGCGTACCCGCGGATTTCCTACGACCATCGCGGTTGCGCCCAGACACTTGTTGCCCTGCGCTTGACGACTGGATCGCCCACATGGCAGCGATTATGAAGCGCGCACACGAGAGTTTAGCCGACTCCCAGACTCGCATGGCTGCACGAGCGAACCGATCACGCATGGATCATTCATTCAAAGTCGGTGACGATGTGCTCGTCGACGCACGCCACTTACAGCGCGAAGCAGATACGCTTCGCAAGTTCAGTCGTCGTTTCTTCGGTCCATGCCGCATCCTTCAGGCGGTCGGTTCTGATACCGCCGCTAGTCCGGTCAGCTTCCGTGTGAAGCTACCTGATTACCTTCGACAGGCTCGCGTACACGATGTTTACCACGTCTCCTTGCTGCGTCCTTATCGCAGACCGTCTGAGCGCTTCGCCGGACGCCCTTATGAGCGCCCTCCACCTATCATGGTGGACGGTCACGAGGAGTTCGTTGTTTCCGACATCGTATCACGCCGAGTTACCGATGATACCCCTCCACGCATCGAGTACCTTGTGCGTTGGAAGGGCTACCCTGATGAGGAGGCTACTTGGGAGCCCCTCGAGCACTTGCAGCACGCCAGGATGTTGGTGCGTGCATATGATCGTGCTCGTCGTGCTGAGACATCCGCTTCTACTCAGCCGACTGACCCTCTTCCTCCTCCTCCGGCTGCGGAGATTGCTGAGGACGAGCCCGCTCCCCCTGAGGCCGTTCCTCAGCCGCAGACGGTCGCCTCCGAGCGTCCACTGCGCACTCATCGTTGCCCTTCGCGTTACGATGACTGACACTCTTATCCTCTATCTTTCCCCACTGACTCACACCATCAGGTACTCCATCATCATCTCCTCTTCAGGATGTCATCGTTTTGCGGCTCTGCTTCGACATCGACTCCACCGCTACTTCATCGACGTCATCGACCACTTCAACGACTTCAGCTACTTTGGACGTGACTACTTCACGTCACCACCCTACCCTGCATACTCCCTTGCCTTTGTCGCATGATGGGTCTCACTTAGCTGGGTCTCTTTGAGTTTGGCTCTCCCTTGGTATCACATAGGCATTGGGACCGTAGCATTATCTTGGCTTCCTTGCTCCCAGACCTAGCTCCCTCTTTTAGTCGGTGAGTTGTGTGCATGTTTCCCTCACCCACTGCCCTCATCACCCTAGCGCCGGCTATTGCATGCCTCCAGTTCGGCATAGCTCCACCCTATTCCAGGCTCCCCTTTTCATGGTCGACCCTGCATGGTGTCACCCTTTTGTCGAGCATTACCTGCCTTGATGGTCTATCTGTTAGGGTCATTAGTTTTGTTTCGCTACCACTCTCCCACCTTGAGCCTGATGACCTATCCCACCTTCATGTGTGACTGCCCTTAGGAGTTTCGATTCTTAGGCTGCATTCACCCCCTCTGAGACCATCCCACTCTTAGTGGTTCAGCGACATGACATTATCTTGGGACATATTGCTCTTTTCCTTTCAGCACTGAGGCCACTGCCTCCAAGACTTTAGGATTGTATCATAGTACATTTCATTTTCTGCTGTTAGCTAGGATATGTATACTAGACATTTGCTTTTCTTTTGAAATTATGTACCTTAGGATGCATCGCATGGACTCCGCATGGAGCTTGCTCCGCATCCTAGATTTCTCAGCTTTCTTTATTGCAGAGTTCCGCTGCTTTTGCGGATAGCGTGTTTATGGCTCTTGCGATCCATTACAGGTCTGAGGATCGTGCAGTGGGCCTTCATCCGCCCTGGCCTACAGCCAGGGCCTATTTGGCTATTTGCCCACTTCGGCCTGTGGGACCAGGCTGTGGCCTGACCCCACAGGCCGTGTGCTGTTCTAGTCCTGCCCGGTACCACTGTCGGTACCAGTCTAGTCCAGTCCAGTCAGTCAGTCCGCTGGGGGTAAACCCCAGCAATTGTCTGTTTTTCCTCATTCTTCACTTTTGCAGATCTTGGAGTACGTGTGTGTGGAGTCTGCGTCGGAGCTGCACTGTCCCTCCCAGCTCCATCTCTACCTCCTCCTTCGTCCACCCTTCTTCTCCACCCTCTCGGACCGCCATCCCGGCGGGTCCGGCACATCAGATCAACGTCCTTTGCTCATCCACAAGTCCTGGCAAGACAAGAGTTTGGACGCGGTATGGAAAGATGACAATGGAGCATCTCACTACAGGGACTTGAGCCCGATCATGGCGATCTACGACCAGCAGACCATCCTGAAGGACGACTTACAATGGAAACCTTAGGAGCTGATCTGCGAAATCCCATATCATCTCCTGGGTCACAAAGACGAGGTGGACAGAATTGCATACAGCATGGCTGCCTTCATCGGACAGGAATGGCTGGGCAGCAGCGAGGCGGAACTGTTGGAGAAAGCAAAGAGGGAAAGGGAGAAGAGGGAGGAGAGTAGAACCGCTCCCACTACCTCCTAATCACATGACCAGCCCCTAGTACAATGGAAATCACACCGGATGGTTCCCCAAATAGAGGGGCTGGCCGCAGTCCAAAGAGACTCAAGCCCACCACAGAAGCTGATATTATAAAAGAAAGCAGGAAACAACCAGAACTAACCATCACGTCATGGAACATCAATGGACTCGCCTCAGTTCTCGACAATCCAATCAAATGGAGGAATCTGACTAAAACCATCAAATGGTTTGGACATAACCCCCCAGACATAACATGCCTACAAGAAACTCACCTAACCAGCAGCAAGGAACACAAAAGAATCCAACATGCAGTCCTGAGGAAACTGCGTTTTGTTAAATCAGCAATCTGGGCTAACGCGGCACCGAATGGCTCGACAGGGATAGTCATTCTTTTCCATCAGAACTCCCTCGCAAGCAATCACATAACAATTCAAGCCACAAGCCAGGACATTACAGCAGGCAGGTGGGTTAAAGCAGATATCAAACTCAAAGAGGAAGATATAGCCATCCTAGGGATATACGGACCGAACGCCACACAAGAAAAAAAAACCCTTCCTTCTCTCCTTGGAGCATCTAATCCCTACCCACACACACACCATCTTAATGGGGGATTGGAATTCTGTACCAGATCCCTCCCTTGACAGGATTTCCAACTCACAAGATACCCTACCACAGTCCAACAGCATAGACCTTGGAGACTTCATCATAAGGAAAAACCTATTAGATCCTTACCGCCTCCTAGCACCAAACTCAAAACGCTTCACCTGCGTCAGAAAAACCTCCCACGGAAGAACCTCCTTCTCAAGAATAGACTTCTTTCTTACCTCGGAATCCCTCTCAGGCGCCATACTAGATTGCAAAATAAATGACAACCCATACTACAAAGGCCTAGACCACAAAGCAATCACACTCTCTCTCAGGCTCACCAAAGAGTAGAAATATTACAAAATGCAATAGAAATAGCCGAATTAAATCTCCAAAGGGACACAACTCAGAGTTCTACGCAGAAATATATTCCAAGGCAAAAGAAGAACTAACAGAATGGACAAAACTAAAACTCAGGGGACTACAACTCAGGGCAAGAATGAACGACTGGGAACTAAACGAAAGAATGACTAAATTATACTTCCAAAAAATCAAATCTAACTCTAGGAACTCTAAGATCGAAAGTTTAATTAACAACCCTACCTCAGAAACAACCCAGTTAGTTAGTATAGCTACCAACTTCTACAAAGACTTATACACTAGTAAAATGCCAGCAGGAAGACAAAACGAATCACTAAGAGCAAGGGCCAAATATCTAACCCATCTAGACCGCACGCTATCAACAGAAATAACAAGCATTCTGGACGCTTCCATCACAATTGAAGAGCTACACACAGCCCTCAAGGACCTAAAACCCAACAAGGCACCGGGCAACTACGGCCTTTCCAAAGAATTCTGGATGGCGAGCTGACACAAACTCGGCCCCCTCTACCTAGACTTCCTCAATAAAGCCTGGGAAAAAAAATCTCTGGGCCCCACGTTAAGCACAGGAGTTGTAACCCTCCTTTACAAAAARGGTAATAAAGAAGACATCAGGAACTCTAGACCCATCTCCCTACTAAATGTATCCTACAAAATTCTAGCCAAACTCCTTCCCTCCCGAATCAACCTTATCACTAATGGATGCTTCCACCTAGACCAAACAGGGTTTATCCCAGGCAGACTCATCTTAGACAACGTAATGGCCCTCAACGAGTCCACGAGAATAATAAATCAAAAGAAAATCACGGCAGCAATTCTCTTCTTTGATTTCGAGAAAGCATATGATCAGGTCAATTGGGATTTTCTCCAATCCTGCATGGAGAAAATGGGCGTTGGCCCAATTTTCCGAAAATGGGTAAGGATACTTTACAACGACGCCCAGGGTATTGTACAAATCAATGGCTTCCTCTCCAACCCGTACAAAATGTCAAGATCGGTAAGACAAGGTGATCCACTAGCAGCACCAATCTTCCTTTTTGTAATGGAAGCCATAGCAGCCTTCCTAAGAAAAGACCCATCCATCGAGAGACTCGTGAACACCAAGGACGAAAGAGGACATCCCTTGCACATCCCTACCACTCTCTTATTTGCAGATGATCTCACAGTCCTGATCAGAGCATCCAATTCATCATTCCTAGCACTAACAAAAGCAATGCAAGCCTTCCAATTGGCCTCTGAAATGAAGGTGAACTGGCCGAAAACCATTRGATGGTGGTTCTYAGAAACCCCCCCTCCCTCAKAACTCTCTCCAGTGGGGTTGCGCTGGGCAGACCTTTCCACCCCGATCCGCTTCCTAGGA